ATATTTGTAAATAAACATATGGACACAAGGTTGGATGGCTGGCTATTAAATATTATATTTTGCTTTGTATGGATTAGAATACATAAAAAATATAGTGCATAAGGTACAAAATTGTGACATGTACGAAGCTTAAAAATCTCACTGTGAGAAAGAACTGTTAATTAATAAAACCCCTACTTAACGCTTTTAGTTTTAGTTCATCAATATCCTGTGCAATGAGGGAATTTATTTCTCTAGTAATCCAGAAATACACAGCACACCTAGGCTCCTTAAAAATTGCATTATAGGATTAATAAGCTAAAGATACAATGGAATACGGAAAACATCTATAGTCATTAAGTATTCAAACTGTACGTCTGGTTAAGCAGTTTGATCTCACATTCATTCAAATTAGTTATAAAGACCACGTAAAGGAATACTAAAGCCAGTTAGCTCTGATGTTAACTCCTGTAACTTTCTTCCTTTGAACAAAATTATTCACAGCAGTGGAGAAGGGTCAGGAAGACTTGGGAAAATGCAACTGACAGAGAGAAGTGGAGAGAGGTGGAAAGGTACAGAGAGGTAGAGAGAGAGAGATAGAGAAAGAGAACACTTAATTAAGCAAATGCTTGCAGAGTGAGAGGCATACTTATCTGGAAATGAGTCTGTGTAATGTCTCCAAAGGCTTTTTGGCTTTTTATCTCCAAAGGACCATGAACATGGATAGGTTGTTTACCTTCTCTAAACCTCTGACTTTTTGCCTTTAAAAATGTAATGATAATATCTACTGAGGTAGCAAGAATCAAATCAAATAAAATTTATAAAGTTCCTAGCATTAAGGTTTGAAAGAATAAACACTTTTGTTTTAATATTTATTTTTGAAAGAGAGACAGACTGAGTGCAAGCAGGAGAGGGATAGAGAGACAGGGAGACACAGAATCTGAAACAGGCTCCAGGCTCTGTGCTGACAGCTCAGACTCACAAACCGTGAGATCATGACCTGAGCTGAAGTCAGACACTCAACCGACTGAGCCACCTAGGCGTCCCAAGAATAAACACTTTTAACATTGCTTCACTGCCCTTTTTTGTTTCCTTTACCCGTCACATTCTTTATCCACCTTCTTTCCCACAGAGAATTCATCACGTTAATATTTTTTTCTTTAATATGAATAACTGCAAAATCCCATCCTTCTCCATTCTTATGAATTTCAGTCCTGCATTTACCATGACATGGTCAAAATCTCAAAGGCAAAGTTAGTATGAGATTGATAAAAACTCAGAACTATCTATTATAGAGTCAAGAAATTCTACAGGTTATTTTTACCCCTTCATCCCTTATGACTTAGAATTTGGCTGTCTCTCACCAAATGACCAGATATTTTCCTCTGATATGTTGATGTCACCCGTTGATCAACATTGCAAAATAGAACTTGTGATCTTTCTTGATAAATCAGTCACCACTCCTGATTCCTTGTGTTCACTATCAATTGCAACCTAACACCATAAAAAGTCTTGAACCACAAAAAATAAGAATTAACATGAATAAATTTTCTGGCTAAAATATGATTTACATCTAGAAAATCAACAGTTTTCTTTCTTTTTAAAAAAATGTTTATTTATTTTTGAGAATGGGGAGGGGCAGAGAGAGAGGGAGAGAGAGAGAATCCTAAGCAGGCTCTGTGCTGTCAGCACAGAGCACGATGAGGGACTCAATCCTATGAAATGTGAGATCATGACCTGAGCCCAAATTAACAGTCAGATGCTCAACCGACTGAGCCACCTAGGCACCCAACCTTTTTTCTTTTAGTCTTTTCATTTGGAATAAAAACTTTTCCAATCAAATTTCACATGCAAAAAATTGTTTTAGATAGAGTAAACAAGGCTTGGTTAAAACTTATTACGAACTAGAAGTCATCATCATGAACCTCTTTAGTACATTTTATAGCAATTATAGAAATAGCATAAGGAACTAATAAATATGAATGATGTCTTTAGTGGTTCCTCTTGATGAAGAATTTTCATTGGATGATGGATACAGAATTAGATATGTGAATTTATTATGGGAAAAGGTGTTAATTCAAAATAACTGAACTCACAGTGAGCATCTGTGGAACATTTCTATTAGCAAAATATAAAGCTTTTTAAAATCTCTTGTGACTGCTGAGAGGTTTTGGGTTTCCATGTGAAAGTCTTTGTTGTTGTTGTCTTTGTTGTTGTTGATCCTGACCAGGTAAAATTGCTCTGGGAATGGAAGGCAACACTAAGCTGTCATTCCCACAAGGACACAAGCTTAAGGTATCACTCAGCTTTCATCTTTCCTCACTGCCCACATCCAATCTTAGTAATAAATCCTCTCCTGCCATCCCAGTGTTTGTGACATCCGCACTGTCCTTCGACTTCCCACTGGCCTTGTCACTGGCTCACTCATATTATGACATTGATCACAGCTTTCATGCTCGAGTCTCTCCCATTTATGTTCTATATTATACACAATGATATTTTCCCTAAAATTTATTTTTTTACTCCAAAAGACTGTATTTTTTTACTCCACTTGCTCCAAACCTTCAAAACTTCAAATTACTTCAACTTACAACTTTAGAATTTCAATAATCATATGCCATATTATATATCTGCTCTAGCTTTAAATTATGTAAATATGTAGCAGAGTGCCTGGATCCTAGCAAGAATTTATCAAATTTTAGTCCTTCCTCTCAAAGCACTTGCTTTAATAAGATCGGATATCCCCTAATGCCTTATCTTTTTTTTTTCTCACTCTTAAATGATCTTTCAATCTTCTGCACTCTGTGAAGCCAAGTTCAAGGGCCACCTCCTACATGACCTTTTTTGCTGCTTTCTCTTCTCTGCCTCCCAACCTTGCAGAATTAATGTTTATTGTTTGTATGCCATTAGGCATCTAATCATTGACTGCCTTGCAGTGCTGTTTAGAGGCTGGTGTGTTTCTTTTCGAAAGGGTTTACCTTAAGGTCACTTAAAGGGATATGTTCTACCGAACTTAATTGTATATAAGGAAGTAGGTAGTATTGCCAAATAAATGGTGTTAAAGCTGACTAAATAAATATTAGATTTTTATATCATATTTAATATATAATTATATATGCAAATACTTGTTGATTAATAGTCTATTAAAGTATATCTCTTGTGTATACTATGCAAATAGAAATACAAATACATGGATATTAACTTTTCCAAACACTTAGATAGCATTATTTGGGCCCTAAAACTAAACAATTTAATTCTTGTAATGGTGATTCAGGTTTCACAGATACAATAACTTGATCTTAAAAAAATATATATATCCTAAAATAAAATCAGTTTAGAATATGAAATTCTGATTAAATGGATTACATTGTGCTGAACATTTTGAAGATTCTATGCTCAAATAAAAACTTCTGTTGTGTTCAACTTTTGTTCCTGCTAGTGCTACCAGCACTTACTTATCAGGATATTTTAAGTGTTCTACATATTTTTGCACATATAAAAGGTCAAATATAGTTATTGAAATACTTATTTTTCTTTTGAAAAAATCTTTACAATATGTCCATACCTACCTTAATCACTGTAATATGACATTTATGTGATCTTCAGCTTAAATATGTTAATCAATCAGCCAAAGGAAAAATGCCATGTTCTCAGTATTAGTTATGCTATATACACTTTACTCCAATATAAGGCTTTCTGACAACTCAAATAGGTAGATATGGAATGATTACTGTCTGTCAGACACCATGCTGTGAATGTACTAAAATACAGAAACTCACATTCTAATGAGAGAGACAACCAGTTATATTCCAAAGTAATTTGTGAAACACAAACCATAACAAAGAACACTAAGGGTGAAAAAATTTCACCAAAAAATGAAATGGAAGTAAAGTGTCGAGGGATGACCACATAGAGATTTAACATTTAAGCTTGATCTTTGTAGATAAGTAGAATTTTTGTCAAGTAGAAAAGGGAAAATGGGGTCTTCTGTAAGAAGGGGAAAAGTAAATAGTATACTCTCTGCAAAGTGTAAAAGATCATGGTAGTTTGAGAAGCAAGAAGTTCAGTGCATTAAATTGGGTAGAATTAGATGTAGTCAATAAGGCAAATAAAATAAGCTACAGTGACTGGCACCAAGCCATGAGGATGACTTGGTCATGCTAAGGAGTCTGTTTCTGAAGGTGGCACGGGACCATGAGAGGCATTAAAGCAGAGGAATGGCACAGTGTACCGGTAATTCTAGAACCAATGGGCAAAACTGCAGAGGCTAAAGGGATGGAGTCAAAGTCATGAATGAAGACACTATTAAGCAAGGAGAGACAGGAAAGTCTGGACAAAGGTGGTAGCAGTGGAAATAAAGAAAAGGGACACCTTAAAAAAACATTGGAGGGGGCACTAATATGACTTTAACATTTTGTACTAGAAAGTTGAGAGAGGATTTACAGCCACTTCCAGCTTTTCAGACTGGTGAAATAAAATAGAGAATGAGATGAGGCCACTAAAATTGGCAATTTGGCTATTACTGGTAACCTTTCTGAGAAAAGGTAAGAACAAAGGTGAATTCATGGGAGAAAATGAAGACTGTATTCAATTGCTTTCAGAGGGATGGATCTATATCTCAAAAAAGAAAAGGTGAAGTAACAATCTGATATTTTCTCATTTTCCAGTTATTTCATAAGGTTACATTAACCTGCTTTTTAAAAGCATTGACAAAATTCAAGTCTCATCAAGTACTCACAATAAGACAAATTATCATTTATTTCCTTGGGCATTTATGAAGCAAGTTAGCTCCTTTTACCTCCTGACAGCAGCAGTGGAGTAAATATTTCCAATCGTCTAAACTCTTCTGTGTCTGCACTCATTAGCGCATACAATTAGTAGAAACCAGGCATTGACTGATTTGATTGACGTGTGTTTATTTTCTCTCCCACACACTGTGGGATCACAGCATGAGAGTAATGAAAGAAGAGCCATAATTTGCAACCAAGGGTAGCATGGCTATTTATTATAATCATACTTACAACTGGCCCTGGTGGGCCCTGGGGACCTTCCCCTCCTTTCAGTCCAGGTGCACCCTGGGAAATGAGAATAAAAACAAAGAAAATGAATCGATGTGAATTGAATATAAATAGGGGAGGTAGGATTTCTAAAATGAAGATGTTAAGAAGTGTTTTTAGACACAAATATATATTGCTATATATATTATGATAATCAATGCTTATGCTTACATATTTCCCCTTCATTACTCATGAATCTTTACTTAGTCAAGTCCTGAGAAAAATGTTTCAATAAGCAATCTCATTCAGATGCTTTATCTATATGCTGATTATACCTGAGCTCCAGGAAGACCTCTTTCACCTGGGAAACCACGCAGTCCTGCTGGTCCGTCTTTCCCTGAGATACCTTGAGGACCGGGGTCACCCTAAAGAATATAGTACACATTAGTCATGGAGAATAATTTCTACAGGTTTCTATAAGCAAAATTGTTATTATGTCTAAGCTGGAAGTAAGGCCTAAATGTTATTCAATAATGAGAATATTGTGTGGAATGCCACACATATTATAATGAACTAATCATATTTAAGAATGTACAGGGGCGCCTGGGTGGCTCAGTCGGTTGAGCGTCTGACTTTGGCTCAGGTCATGATCTCATGGTTCATGGGTTTGAGACCCGCATCAGGCTGTGTGCTGACAGCTCAGAGCCTGGAGCCTGCTTCGGATTCTGTGTCTCCCTCTCTCTCTGCCCCTCCCCTGCTCATGCTCTCTCTCTGCCTCAAAAATAAATATAAACATTAAAAAAAAAAAGAATGTACATACATGGATGGCTTTATGTAAGTGATGCTAAGTGGTCTTATGTTATTGTTCAGTCACACCTTGAAGTACAATAACTAAATATTTTTACTGATACATCTTTCTGATCCATTGAAACACTGTGCTAACAGTTAGAGACCCTATGGACAAGTGATGAAAAGCTACAGTGGAAAGTAAATGGATATTTTTAGCCAAGAAAATTCTGTAAGCATGTCATACCTTTGCACCTTCTTTTCCTGCAGCACCAGGAAGACCTTGCTCACCAGGAGGGCCGGGAGGGCCAGGATGTCCTCGTTCACCTATTGGACCAGTCTCACCCGTTGGTCCCTAAATTGGAAAGCAAAACCTCATTAGATTGTGCTTTTGTTTTTCATAAGGATAACATAAACCCCAAATAAGTATTACTTCCTTTTACAATAGTTTATTATTCTCATTTATTTTCATAATGTCCTACAAAACATATAAGAGCAGCACGGATCCAGGAGGAGTCTGAAAAGAGTAAGTGTTGTCCTTGGTAAGGATCTGAGTGTACAAGACACATACATAGGTAAACTCAAAAAGCTATTTTCTTTGTTTAATATCAGAATTGCTTCAGAATGATGCCAGTTAAAACCACAGTTTTTAACTACAGTTTCATCCCATTCCCTCTTTTTTTATATAAGATATCAATGAGTTTAGGAGTAGAAGGAGGCATTGGTACCACAGGGGTAGCTACTCAATGAATCACTGCTCGATAAGAAGCCTGGGTCCCCTGGAAACCAAACAACCAAAGTAGTTCTCCTTGGAATTTCCATGACTGGAGACCTCCCTACAGTTAATCTATATTCATTTGACAAAATCTAGGGAATGTAGCAGGGAGATCCTGAAGGCTGTGAGTTTGGGCTGGCAGTTCCTCCCAGCCAAAAGCTATAACAAATAGCCCGCTGCCTTAAATTGCTGCAGAATGCCAAAGTGAAAAATATCAGGTCATTTATGTGTCCCCTGAGTGGTGCTGTTTGGTGGTGCTAAAGTTTAATGAGCTTTCAAGTGTAAATAGAGAATGGTGACCAGTTGCTCTCTATCTCCACTTAGAATAAAGCAAAATGAAGGATTTAAGTTAAAGGCATATAAAGAGAAAGTTTCCAGATGCCAAGGTTGTTAAACAGCGGCATGTGTTGTTGAAGTTGTTTACGCATTATCATTCTCTGTTATTTTTCTAAAAATGCAACAGATTCTTTGCCTCTGGTCTTGGATACAGAGCATATCTGCCTCAACTTTGAGTGTAAATTTCTAGGTTTAAATTCTTTTATTATGTATTACTTAAAGTCCTCAATTTATCGTTAATGTGCAAATACTCCCCCGGAAAGGAACTGTTCTTGAATATCTGATCACTGGAATTTCAATAGTAAGCAATTTAAAATTGATCCTAATTTAATGGCTATCACTATTGAGACAAAAATGAGCAACATGACTACAAAAAATGGAGTGAATATTAAATATTGCAATCAATATAGTTCCTAGTAAATCACTTCCTTTGTCCTAATATAAAAATTAGGCTATTGAAATAGGACATTGGATTTTCTCTTTTAAAAGAACCAATGAAGAAAACTAACTCAATGAAAATGCATCCTCAACAAAACACCTGATACTTTTATGCCTTAAAGTAGGGAGGAACAACAACAACAAAGATCTCAGAAGCCAGATGTCTACATTAGGCAGAGATGAATTTCCAAAAGGTATAAGGTCCTGAAATATTCAGGGAAGCCCCTTGATGTCTACATTCTAGTTGGATTTTAACTTCATTTATTTAATGTAAAAGGAATAATTCTTTCAGTTATAGTTTTTCACAGAAAATTGCCATGAAGCTGCTTGCAGTGGAAAAAATAAGATATTTTGAAGGTAATTATTGAGGGAGTATTTTTTTAACTAAACCTGGTAAGCAGGTAAGAGCTTGTCAACACACACACAAAAAAGTATGCAAAAAAAAATGCATATTACATTTTCTTTATAAAAGAACAAACAGCATTTCCCTTTTTTTGGGATTCATCTTTGGAATTAAATGATTAGCCAATCCAAGAATTCTTCATTTTTGCTTCTGTCACACATATTCCTAGAAAGATGATGCAGTTTTTTGTTTCTTTAGTTCCATATGTATTTGGATGTGCATGCTTGTGTGTGAGTGTGTGTGTGTGGATGCATAAAGTGCTAAGAACGAATTATAGGCTGAGAAAAAGCCATTTAATGCAATTAAATAATTAAAACACTTATTCAACTGCTCTTGCTCTTTTGCTATAGCAGGGGTAAAATTCCAGCTGAATAAACTAAATATGTTCTGTCCATTCAATACCACTTTGTCAGAATAAATATTTTCTATTCCCACAAATTATTCCATGATTCAGTATACTGCATCAATCATTGGGACTCTTTCTGCCACCTATGTCGAAAAAGCTATTCGTCTTTGTCATTGTTTAGACATATTCAAAGATTACAAACTAATATTTTATCATTGATGGAAATCATTACAAAGACAAAAATATTAAGAAACATGTAATAATGACAAATATTACAGTTTTAGGGGAAAAAAGTTGTGCTCAAAGATTTATATTATATTTGTAATATATTATACATCTAAATCTAATTTATACTCAGAAATCTGAAGTCATTTTGTAATTTGAAATTCTAGGAAAATATTATGGTTGGCCTTTCTAATAAAGCATTTTGGTAGTGTTAGTAGGTAGTACCATGGTCAGTCAGGCTTTTATGTTAACTTCATTGTGAATTTTCTGACTGAATTTTCATTATTTGCTTCGTTCTCTTTTCTCTATGCATCTAACTGAAATAATCACTTCAGCTAAGTAAAGTTTGCTAAAGTTTACTTGAGATAGGCCAGTGGCATGCATTTAAATCTGGTATATAAAACATAAAGTACAACATTTTGAATCATAATAAAATGGGCAGATTTTATACAGCATAGAAAAGATGAAAATATAAATAGGAAAATAAATCTTCTTAGAGAAATAAAGTACAGGGACATACCTGTGGTCCAACGACACCCCCTGGTCCTGGAGGGCCAGTCTTGCCTTGAAATCCCTGAGGAAAGAAAGCTAGACGTTACAAAAGCATAGATTCAAATTTGTAAGGTAACTCACATTAAAACAAAGTCACTTTTTGGTTAAAAATACTCATTATTAAATGTTTAAATATAAATTATATTCTAGTTTTCTTTGAAATTCAAAATTGACCGTCCTCACTATTTCACATTATAGTCCAATGATTACTTTCAATAAACTTAAAAAATTAAATAAGACATTGGGATGAAGATGAAGGAAAAACGCGTTCTTAGCCCTAATCTACCTAGTCAGAGTGAGAATTTTAACATAGCAATGCTTATGGATGAAATAAATGATGATTTAGACATTCTTTAATGTTTGTTTGTTTGTTTGTTTGTTTGTTTGTTTGTTTAGTTAGAGGAAACAAATGGGAGAGGGGCAAAGAGAGTGGAAGAGAGAGAATCCCAAGCAGGCTCCAAACTGTCAGCTCAAAGCCTGACTCAGGGTTAGATGCCACAAACCGTGAGATCATGACCTGAGCAGAAATCCGGAGTTGGATGCCTAACTCACTGAGCCACCAGGCGTCCCCTGGCATTCATGAAACAGGCCACTGGCTCTGTGTACAGAGATAAATCTAAGGTCTGTCATATTAATGCACTTCTCTTTCCAGCATTCCAATGTAAAATAAAACAAGAATAGAATCAAAACAAAATAAAAACAAAAATAAAACAAAACAGGATGTAGAGTACATTTAAAAGGCGAAAGATTTATGCGATCTGAAGAGAAACCAGAGCATATGTAGAGTACATTTATAAAAAAAAAAAAAAAACATTTTGCATGATTAGTAATCATTTTAGCATTTTATCAGTCTTCTTTCTTAAAATATCCCCAAATGTAGTTACAACTGTACCTTGTAAATAACGCAGCCATTAAGAGAAAATCTGGTAGATGTAAGCAGCATGTAGCCAATAAACAAAGCCTTTGAGCATATATTTTGGTGTCTATATTTCTCTAGACTCATGGGTTATTCATCCTGTATGACTGTTTTATGATTAGCAAATTTCTCTCTCATGTAAGTTAACTTACACTTAACAGTTGGAGAAGAAGCTTCAAAATACAGGGAGAAAAGCTTCAGATGAAATGAATTAAAGCAAATAGTGTTTGTAAAAGTACTTATGGTAAAATGAGACTAAAAATAATAAGACCAGAAAGCAAAGGGCAGAAACTGGTAGCCCTGTGCTTATATAACAGGCAACTGATTAAATTATAATAACAAAATTTTGTAAGTAGGGAAAAGGAAAAGAAGCTGTATTTGGAATTACTTTACTTGACGTAACAGGGAAAAAAATAGATCCCTTCTATTTTTTAAAGTCATTAATTCTTTTTTTAAATTTTTAAAACTTTAAAATTTTATTTATTTATTTATTTATTTATTTATTTATTTATTATTTGTTTTTGAGAGAGAGAGAGAGAGAGAGAGCGAACAGGAGAGGGCAGAGAGAGAGGGAAAGAATCTTAAGCAGGTTCCACTTCCACCATGGGGCCCTACGTGGGGCTCAATCTGATGACCATGAGATCATGACCTGAGCCGAAATCAAGAGTTGGACATTTAATGGACTGAGTCTCCCAGGCACCCCTACATCCATTAATTCCTAAGACCAACAGGGTTTGTCTTGAGATACCACTTTTAATAGCAAGACAAATTAATATAAGGAGAATATATTGTAGATTTTATTTAGTAATTTAACTTTTTTTCAAGTTATTGGTTTGGAAATTTACACACACACACACATATATATACATATCAGCATACCTATATACATGTGTGTATGATGTGTATGTATATATACATGTTTCTTTCCCATTGACAGATAACAGCTTGCTGTTCCTCTTACCGATTTGTTCACAGGGTTTATTCCCACACTCTATCTACTCCTAGATTATCTCAATAAACCTCTGGACCACTATTGTTACTTATATGTTGATGAACTCCTCTGCAACAAACTCTTCCTCAATCTCTAATCTGTGTCAAACCCTATAACTCTCTCATAAGTGCTTACTGGGCATTTCTAATTGTACCTCACACTCTCTCCTCAACTTTGTGTTCTCAACATGGAGCTCACTAAATGAATACTCTCCTTTGATTTTCCTCCTGTGTTCTCTTATTACTAGCAGAGAGACTAGGTATCCCAGGCTTCCCTTCAGTCCTCAGACTCCGTCATTCATCCTACTGTGTCATCTTAGAACCTCTCTCAAATGCGGCTTCTTCTCTCTTGTGGAGGAGACCTGTTTTTATTCAAACTGTAGTCACCATTGTCCTTGACCACTCAGCTTTTCAGGTCAGGTTCACATACTTGTCCACTTTGGCTAGAGTCACCATCTCACTAAAGCAAATCTAATCAACTCATTATTAAGTACATATCGTGCAACATCCATTACCAACTTCTAAACAATCTGGATCTAGGCTGTCACTCTAGCTACCTCTCTGCTTTGAAAATGTCTTAAAGTTTAGCCGTGCTGATTTTCTAACCTTTCCCTAAATAGCCCTATACCACATATTTGCATAGCCTGTTCCCTCTGTCTAGATTATAGATTACCCTTCTCCCAATTTCTGATCAGTAAATTTGACATGAAGATGTAAATGCAATTGTGAACTTCAAAAAAAAAATTAGTCTTGCAAGTTTTTTTTTTTTTTTTTTTTTAGTAACTGTGAGAACAAGAACAGTACATGAAAAAACAATTGCAATAAATAATTAATGGTGAAAATCAATTGATTAAAAATCAATGTTTAATTGGGGAAATTCTGCAAACAATGTGGAAAGGGAGAGAGATGTTAGCACATCTGAGTGGGTGACGGATTTGGGAGGAGATGGGGGACAGCATAGTGTCGACGTCTGCTCATTTAAAACATTCAGAGTGTTTGCAAATATCTAATAAATGTGACACAAATAAACCATGTACAAGAAAATTTTATAGTTCACAATGGAGTGCGCTTGTTCAATATTGTCATCTAATAAGACTACACTTGCCATTTAATTTTAGAATTACAAGTTAAATTATGTTTTTCAAAGTTCCTGAAAACTGAGATCAATTTGCCACATTGCATCTGCGGTAAGACCCAAGAAAAATGTTCATTTGCATTCTGATAATCTGTAAGAGACTAAGTTAATCTTAGGATCACTGTGGGATTTGGCAGTGTGTTTTGGAGACAAATTTGGGTTGTTTCAGTATAATAGAAATTATTTCTTATTATTACCAGTGGCCTTAAAAAGCTTTGAATTATAAAACGTCAGATGAAACTTCAAGTTTTTCTTACTTGAGACAAATCTCAATATAACAAAAGAATTTCTTCTTCAAAATAAGGTGACACATATACAGCAAAATATGGTTTCTCTAGATTCTGACTCTTTCTTGTACAATGCAATCCTCTGAATCCCCATCAGCACATAACAAGGTGAGAAAAAAAGGTTCCTGACCATAGTTTGATTCACTATTGCTCTTAAAAGTGGATTTGAAATCAGGAATACGATTTTCTAGAAGTAATTCTAACCTTTGTCTATAAGAAACTACTAGGTGAGAACATTCATCTTACAATCACTACTTAATATGCTATTTGTCCTCTTTGCTTAAATTTAAATGTTATATATAATATAGTTCCTTTGGATAGAAACAGAGGTCTTGATTAAATTGAAGACAAAAGGAATTTTACAATAGCCGCTCTCTAGGTATCCCTTCCCCAAAAGACATTTTGAAAACATTCTAGAGTCACTCCCATGACATAGCTACACAATGACTTAGTTAAAAATGACTGACTGCAAGATTGGAGAATACATTTGCAAATCAGGGTATGGATTCTTCATTAAAAGGTTTATTTTATGCTCCTCATGCAGATGTAATTCCCCAGAGGAAACCCAAACAATTTTACTCTTTGGTCTCACTAAATCATATTTGATTCTGCTTTTGAAATCTAAGACTTTGAAGTTTACAATCTGACTAAAATTAAGAAGTTGCTACACTAAGAATCGTTGGTTGGTGAGCAAAACTGGAATTGAGTTGCTGCTGATAGATTGTTTATCCTACGCAGAAAATCATCCTTTTTTCAGATTTGTTGCTGTGTGTGCACTCGATACAACTCCAAATATGTCTTCATGCTGGCTGCATGCCCTAAAATGACTTTGAATCACATCGTCAAAGCTGGTCTGTGCTGTGATTTCCTTAAGAAATCTGGATAAAATTAATCAATGGTGCAATCCAAGCATTGATTCCAAGGAAACGTGCTAAGCTATGATAACTTCTGATTAGACTAACATCCCAGTGCAAAAGCCAGACACATGATTTTGTAACAGTGGCAGAATAAATAAACAAACCCACCAGCAGCCTCAAACTGTGCTTAAAGTGTCAGTTTCCCCTGTCCAAATCATTGCTATTCACAGAAGTTGTTCAGACATTTATTTAATGTGATATTCCTCATAATTTTAAAATAAAATTCAGATACATTTTTTTTCATTTACATTTTCCTACTTGAGGTGAGAGGATGCATTTGAGATAGTTTCAACCTAATTATAGCCTTATGGTTTCAACATCAGAAAATATTTCATCCCTTTGTTCTACACAGAAGAATGCATTATTTGCATGGTTAAGTATAATGTATTTCTGTTAGGGAGTGGAAGGGTGATAGGGTTGGATGGAATATATCTATAAACAAATACTTCTGTGAAAGGGTCAAGGTCAACAACCTTGCAGAGGTGTCCAAATGATAATGGGGTCTTCTCCCTAAACTCATCCCCAAAGTGCTACTATTGACAGTAAGGACAATCAAATCAAGTAACACCTCCATCCTTAAGTATATTCATTTGTAGCTGGATACAAATTTGGGTCTCTCTCTATATATATAAAATAAAATTTCAATGAAATTAATTTCTCCATTGCCCTTAACCTAGTAAAGGAACTATTAATAATAAAGTAGCTTTCTGTGAGATGATGAGGAGCCAGGGATGGAAAATTTCAATCAAAAGAATGAGGTCACTTACAGTCTCTCCACGTTGTCCAGGGTGTCCTGGCAGGCCATCCTTCCCAGGTGGTCCCTGAAATCAGAAATATTAAACACCTTATGTCACAAATATTTATTGAATTGTTTTATAGTTTAAATGTATATGTTGGACAATTTTATCATCATATTTTCATTATATACATTTCGATGTTCTGTTGATTTTACATACAGTAGTATGTGTGTATATCTCTTTGGGGGTAATTCTATCTGTAACTGTGACCAAGAGAAAACTGTGTAATTCCAATATGAACATTTTACATTTAAATGATTTCATTAGCATCTGTTTTTTAAAAAAAACATTCATATAGATTTTTAAAATTTTTACAAAAAGGTTAATTCATCAGTACTTGACAAATGAACATTTTCCCCTCTTTTTGGTGCTCTGTTTGTAATTCAATTTCCTGTGCATCAATATTTGTACAATAGAAAGATAGTGTCCTCTAGTGGTGGTCTGAGCTTCTACCTGATAAGAATGAAAAGAAACACAAACTTCCAAATTACACTCTCTCAATTTCTTCAAGTAAAGGAAACAGGGTAAGGTTTGCTCAATTTTAGGTGTCATTGGGGCCAAATTTTCCCAGTTGGTTTTCTTAAATATCCTCCTGAACACATCATTTTTATTAAGCACTGGACAGCAAATCTACCATGTTATCACTTTCTCTAAGGGATGCTGTCTTGTGTCATGACCAAAGAAATAAATGAAGCAATTAACTAAGTACTTAAAGCAAACAACTCTGTGTGGTTCCTGTGTTTTAGATACTTAGTAGAAATAGATTGCTTCTTTAGTCTGCATTATGGATCCTTCACCCTACTCAGAAACCATTAAGTATTGGGGTCAGATTTCAAAACAGATTTAATAGGTATAGGCGGAAATATTCTCACCCTCTGGAGAAATGAAAGAAATGATCATTTTAATAACTTTTTAAAATTTTTTGACATTTATTTATTTTTAAGAGACACAGAGAGATAGAGCATGAGCAGGAGAGGGGCAGAGAGAGAGAGAGGGAGACACAGAATCCAAAGTAGGCTCCAGGCTCTGAGCTGTCAGCACAGACCCTGACATGGGGCTTGAACCCACAGACCGCAAGATCATGACCTGAGCCGGTCGGGCACTTAACCGACTGAGCCACCCAGGCGCCCCCATTTTAATAACTTTTTAAATGGTAACAGACATACCTCTCACTGTATGTTAATTATTTAAATAAATCTATCTTAAAAATAGATTATTTACAAAACTCTATTTTCAAATTGTCAATGCTTTTTAATGCTGAGTTAGAAAAAAGGTTTGTTTTAAACCATAAGAGACTCTTAAATACTGAGAACAAACTGAGGGTTGATGGGGGGTGGTGCTTAGGGAAGAGGGGAAAGTGGGTGATGGGCGTTGAGGAGGGCACCTGTTGGGATGAACACTGGGTGTTTATGGAAACCAATTTGACAATAAATTATATTTAATATTAAAAAAATGAGATTCTTTTCACTGATGGCTTTGTTCCCCAGGAGTAAGACTTTTTTCTACATTGGCTGTAACACCTCAGGAGGAAGGCTTCCTGACGGTACCAGCTCTGTCCCTGATCTCATCTTTATTGACACACTGGTTGCCATGTGAATTAGCAGCTCTAGTTAATGACTGTTATTATGACATTTCACAAGATTATTGTTCGCTCAGTGATTTGCTCATGTCTCCCAGGATCACCTGAGTGATTCCAGTGCCATCCTCCGAAAAGACCAAAACTGGAATGCTTTTAACCAAGGCCCGAAAACATTTTCGGCCATCATTTAAACATTTCTTCTTTCAAAGCCATATATTACAGATCTAGGTCTTAGGCACTATGTGTACAGTAATCTAAGATTTAGCTTTGCCCTCCGTTTAAAGGTGAAATGCAGAAATAAGTAGTTAATTGCTAGTAGACTTCATGCAGGTTCAGTATTTCAAAACAGTAAATAAGGACACATTTTGTACTTTATTATTATTTTGATACATATAGGAATAAATGTGCTACCAATTGGGGGAACTAGTAAAAGTTTTAAATAAAGACACAGAGAGTGACCACTAAAGGATAATAAATATGTAGCAGGCTTTTCCCCCGCCCATACTAAAATGCCTCTCAAATTATGTGTTTTGCCATCAGCACAAGCCATTTATATGTTTTCTTACAAATCTGTAAGTATAAATGTTCACTATCTTATATTTGCTAGTTTGAGACATATAGATTATACTTTTATTGCACAATATTATAACCTTTTAAAACTGTTAAATTTGATCTTAGATCAAAATGACATCACCTAGGGGTGACTGCAACACGATTTTTAATGGCTTTCCTACATATCCTGAGGGAACAGTGTTCTTTAAGTATATATTCCAAATATTAAGTGATTAATTCTAAATAATCATAATGGCTCAATAGTCTATCCAATAAAAGAAAGTGGATTAACTACTCATAGCATTAATTTTAAAATCATAATTTTATTGGTCAAAAAATACTGCCCCTTTGATGTTGTTGAAGGGCAGTGGCAACAAATTTATCTAAATGAGGGTGTGCATATACAGCAAGGTAATCTGTGAAAAGACACTTACTAAATAAATGTTAAGGCTATTTTTTTTTTACCTCCCATTGGCAAGGAGTTTTGATTTTTTGTCTTCTATAAATAGACTGTATCTTATAATAGTTATAAGTCTTAATCACCTCAAGTTAAAATTTTTCTTAAATGGGGTAACTATATGCTGACATTGGCATGAGGTTAACAGACTCTAAACATGAACATTTTAAGCACTCAATAAATAACATTTGTGAATGTATATCTATGTAAATTTATATATAAAAACATATGCATATTTTCTGATTACAATGAAGATGAACCAATTAATAGGCAGGAAAAGAAGCTTGGCTCTATCCCTCCACTCAATTTCTTCCTTCCATATCCAAGAGATGAAGGCATTTCTGTCCTAAAAATGTTATAAAACTGCATACCAGAGAAATAATAGGTACTTTTATTTCATGCTCTAATGTTTCACTTGACAGAGAAACAGTGTATAAAAATCATTTTGTTTAGCAGTGAAAGCAATGTTCCTGAATAGTGTCATGTCTCTCCAACTAGATGGCATGCTTCTCAAGTGTAGGCATTTATTACACTTTTAATGCTTCATAGAGACAAAATGCATGCTTGATTAATGGCTCAAAACTTGTTGAAAGATACATGAGAGAATGAACTGAAAAAGTCTGAGGAAAAATGGGTCAAATGGCTTTCTTTGACAATAAAATTACATTATATGAAAGAAACAATTCTTAGCAATCTGTGCAATCTGTGCAAATATAAACGGTATGATAATGTGGAAGTTATACATATCACTGGATTTTATGTTGCTAAACAATGATCTATGCATGCACATGGCTTCAAAATACTTATGAAAAACGTCTTATGTATGAAATCATTTCTTGGAACTGTATTTTCACTTCTCTACATGTGAAACGTTGCATGACAATATTACGTTTGGAACGCAACTGAGATAGTGGGTAAACAACATTATATACAAGTAGTATCAATCTTACCCTGTATTTAATACTAGCTCTTTACATTAATCCTTTCATAATACTATAATACAGATAACAATCCTTTCTTGATGTGTTCACAGTAATAAAGCAAAACCGTTAGAATAATATTTCAAACAGTGTCTAAAATTATTGCAAAAAATAAGAGATTGCTTCAACATTTAATATTTACTTTAAGCCAGTATTTCGTCAGAGAACAAACTGAGGGTTGCTGGAGGGGTGTTGGATGGGGGGATAGACTGAATGGATGATGGGCATTATGGAGGGCACTTGTTGGTATGAGCACTGGATGTTATATGTAAGTGATGAATCACTAAATTCTAACCCTGAAACCATTATTCACTAGATGTTAACTAACTTGGATTTAAATAAAATAAAAAAAGTTGCTTTTAATGATAAATAATTCATTTTTAAACCTGTGAGCTAAAGTCAAATGTGAAAGTTATCAGTGGAAATAGAGGGTTATTCAAACTCAATAAGAAGTTGGAGACCATATGCATTTAGTTATAAATTATTTTCAACATGCTTGAAAGTATAATGTAACCAGATGCAACATTTATTTAAAATTTTAACATCTTAATTCAGAATTTTCCAAATTGTTCCTTTATACAAGACTACTATTGGACTATATTTGGTTAACTATAATTATTAGAAAATAGAGAACTGGAATATACAATTTTTTGAAATACTGGCATATATAAATAGTCTCACATTTCTTCATACAGGATGCATGCTGTGGTTTTGTCAAAAAGACTCAGTTCAAAATCAATTTAGAACTTTCAGTCAAAAAATATATATCAGTGAGCCTCTAAATGAAAATATCCAGGATGTGAGTAAAACTACTAGTAATGATTTAGTTATTTGTATCATTATAATGAAAAAACATTTGGTTCTCAAATTATTAACTGAAAATTTAGCTATACTTTGTTTCCTGCTGAGTAAATCATATTCAAACTATGTTAGTTATATTTTCAGCCAAAATATTTTTGAGCTTTGTTACTTAAAATATGGCCTAGGAGCACAGTATTGGCATCACCTGGAACTTTGTTAGTAACTTCAAGACTCATGACTCACTCCAGGCCTACTGAATCAAATCTACATTTTTTTTAATGTTTATTTATTTTTGAGAGAGAGAGAGAAAGAGCATGAGCAGGGAAGGAGCAGAGACAGAGAGAGGGAGACACAGAATCTGAAGCAGGCTCCAGGCTCTGAGCTATCAGCGCAGAGTCCAATGCAAGGCTCGAATCCATTAGCTGTGACATCATGACCTGAGCTGAAGTCAGATGATTAACCGACTAAGCCACCCAGATGCCCCCAAATCTACATTTTTACCAAGATACCAAAATAATTTGTATGCACATTAAAGTTTAGACAGCATTGTCAAATGTAGACTAGAAGAGTGGCTCACAAACTTTAGCATGCATCAGAACTATCTGGAGAATTTGTTAAACAGACTGGGCCCCTCTCTTAGAGTTCTGAGTTAGCTGAGTGATGTAGGGAGAAGACTGTATGTCTAACAAACCCCAGGTAGTACTGATGTTCTGGTCCAAGGACCACACTTTGAGAACAACTTCCTTAGACATGTGGGTGCTATGGCCTGTAAGTTCGTATTGAAATTCACATTGAAATGCCTAATTCATGATGTTGAAATCCTAACCCTCAGAGGCAATGTTAGTAAGTTGGGCCATGGGTAGGTGTTTAAGTCATGAAGGTAGACCCCTCATAAATGAGATCAGTGACTTAAGAAAGAGACTCCAAGAGCTTCCTAGCCCCTTCTGCCCTGTTACCTGAAAAAGGGCCCCCACCTGACCATGCTGGCTCCCTGAGCTAGAACTTCTGGCATCTAGAACTGTGCGAAATAAACTTCTGTTGTTTATAAGCTCTCTAGTCTCTGTGGGTAAACAACATTGTGTGCTTTGTTTGTTTGCTTGTTTGTTTGTTTTTTGTTATAGCAGCCAGAATGGACTAAACCAGTGATTAAGTTGATTCTAGTTCTCATAAATAAACTGAGTAGGTTACTAAGAAAAGAAAAATAAAACAACTGAGCAATGAGCATGTCTGATATTCCCATATACATTTAAGTGTGGAAATAAAGGATTTCCATTAACTTTGTGAAGATACTTGAATGAGCAAATTTTATAAAAGGGATATAATTCAGAAAGGATTATCATTATTTTTTTTAAAAGCACAGATGATAGACAAAAATAATAAATACAAATAAACAAATTACAATGAAATGTAAGTAATGTCAGAATGCCAGAGAATGTTTAGGAAGTGATATTTTGAAGGATACATTGGATGATGGAAGACAAAAGAGAAGTTCTGATGTAACAAATATTTAAGATGCAGTAACGATTTTTAATGCCATCAGTAATATGGCACTGCAGTGGAGGAGTATTTGAGAGAATAACATCCAGGTTGTTCATGTCTTTGATGTACTTTGCAAGAATCTTTATGAAGATCTATTTGGGTTATATCAGAAACATTCAATAAACGTCATAAATTGAAAAATGTACATTCTTTGACGTCACCAATTGCAATTTATTTTTATTAGAATTTTCGTCAATATTTGCATCTAAAAATTACTTAAAATATAAACTGTGACTCTTGAAAATTTGAAAACATTGTCAAATGAAGAAATAAAGAAAAACTATGGTACTTACAGGAGGACCTTTAGGTCCAGGGAATCCAACTGGACCCTGAGGTCCTTGAGGGCCCTGAAAATAAAAAGCAGTGGAGAAATTTAAGAATATGCCTTAAAAGATACATCTTTATACTTTACAGTTTATTTCTACAGATGAAACACAATATAGCATACAGCTTCTTCATCATCACGACAGAACTACAGTAATGTAACAAGATAATGTAAGCTAATCTAAAAGTTAAATGCATGATTTTTCACCTTATTCAGTACTCAAAACCACACACCAATGGCCTTAAATCATGAGCACTGTACATATTTAGAATTCATAATAAAGTGAGCAGAACATAGATGTATCAAGAAGCTCCATACTTTTAACATTAGTTGGAAACATCCTTGGGACAGAATAATTCAATTCCCTAGCCACCCCCAAAAAATTATTTTTAAAATTGACTCTATAAATGTTCTGATTCTAGTCATACAAAAGTAAAGGAAAAAATAAGTGACTAATTCAGAAAGACCTTTAACTAATTTCTATATTTACAATGTATTTTGGAAGATGCCAATATCTCATTTTACTCATATATAAAATTCTTTTGTAGATCAGAGAAAAAACGCTTTATTGTATTATTTTTCTCATTAACATTCAATGTAAAAATACATTTATAATATTGTTTTAACTTAATCTTTAATCAACATTATTATTCAATACTTATATTAATATAAATTTAAAATGCAGTAAATAGACCCTATTATAGTGACAGCAAAATAATTGGTGAAGATAATCCTTTATGTTCCCAGAACATAATAATTATGTTTCCAAAAGAAATATATATATATAATGGAACATAATATAAATAGGATTTCTTAAATAACTCAACTAGAATAGGATTTATTTATATTTAAATAAAAAATGAAGTTTGCTAAAATTGGTCTTTACTCTTTTCAGTTTATCAGTTTAGCCTTTCCAAGGGAAATTTCATTATCATTTTTAAGCCAATGCTAGTTCAGAAATCAGCACAAATTATTGCTATTACCAGCATCTTACCTTAAAATCAAAAAGAAACTTCAAAGTTCAATATGTCATTAAATAAATAGATATCACAGTGTAATTACCAAAAACACTGGGCAACCTTTGGGACTTACAAATTTTGGTACTCTCATTGAAGTATGAAACTATCATTCTTAAATATATATCATAATAACTTAATATTATAAACAAAGTTTTATTTTAAATATAAAATACTAGGGGGTTCTGGGGTAGCTCAGTTGGCTAAGCATCCGACTTCGGGTCAGGTCATGATCTCAGAGTTTGTGAGCACCACATCGGGCTCTGTGCTGACAGGTCAGAGCCTGAAGCCTGCTTCAGATTCTGTGTCTGTCTGTCTCTCTCTCTCTCTCTCTCTCTCTCTCATTGCTCCTTCCCTGCTTATGCTCTGTCTCTGTCTCTCAAAATTAAACATTTAAAACAATTTTAAATATAAAATTTTTTTAAATATTATTTTTTAGGCTATGTAGCAAGCTCTATTTTTCTAATTCCTTAATATGTAGTTTCTTTGCCTTCTAAATTTCTGCTCCTTTTCAACCAAAATTTGATTTTGGATTTAAATTTCTTTAAGGAAAAAAAAATTCAAAAATCACTTCTCTACAGAATACATAGAAGAAAAAGTGGACCTGTATAAAATTCCACAAGAAAGTGTTGACATAGTCCTTCCATATTAATGAAAATAGTTTCCAGGTGATGTGGAAAATACATACTCAGTGTAAAGACAGTGTTGGAACCCAGTAAGTGTTGCCAGATAAAAACCAAGTACCTAGTGAAGTTTGAATTTGAGATAAATAATGAATAATAATATTCCCCAATATTGCAAAGGACATACTTATACCACAAACTATTCTGTTGTTCGTGTAAAAATTCAAATTTAATTGGGTGCCTTAGTCTTTTTATTTTATTTCATTTTTTATTGTTGTTGTTTTTTGGCTTTTGCTAAATCTGGTAATCTTAGAACAACTAAAAGCTGTCTTAACTAAGTCTTTAATAATAGGCATCCATGATCCACAAATCATGAGTATGAGGAATTATTATATTTAAGCTGCAGAGTATCCTAATTAGTAAATATATAATAGTATATATTTAAAATATCCTACAACATGTACATAATATGTACATATAATACTATATATATATATATTTATAAGCAAATATATTGTTAAAGAAGTCCATTGAAATGGAAAAAATAGGTATTTCCATTTCTAGTTCAATAGTACTATAAAACTCTCCCCCTAAACTTCCCAAGTTATTTATTTTAAAGAAAATATTTGGTAATATCATTTCTATCATTCTTCAACTATGCCTAAGACATAACCAAATAGTTTATGATACATAAAATTCTTTGGAGAAAATGAGGATATGTTAGGGAGAAAAGGTTTCATCAACTATGCAGAATATAGGAAGTATGTCTTGTATATTTAAAATGTATGAATGCTATTTAAAAATGGTTTCCAGCTTACTTAATTTTTTTTTTATAATAACCTCTACTTTAAGCTTCAAAATACACTTTCCTTACTCTCAAAGTATTTTTACAATTACGAGTAATCATGCTGTTGGGTCACACTGTTATGTTCCAAAATTGTGAATATATATGGTTGATCATGACATTTTGGAATGCAGAAACAAAATATGAAAGAAAAATAGTTTATGCTTTAAAAACAAAACTCCTAGTTTTGCTATAATTTGTCAAGTGGTTCTATTCCATTTAATGATTTAGCCATTTTAATTAAATTGCATCCTCTTATTAAGATTATTTTGACCATCACATTTTTAAAATGTGTATGTTATTTATGATTTTAAAATGTACAGGATGGACTTAATTTGGGAATAGTTCATCAATAGTGAGAGATATTTAGCAAGAAAGTTTACTTTAATTAAATATGAACCAAAGCTTTGAAACAACTATAATTAAATGTTTATTCTTAAGTCTTATCTACTGACATTTCTGTCACAAATAGAAACTTCATTCCAAAAAATTACTTATTCTCAGTTTTAAGTTACATATCATGGGGTATTTCAGTTTTCTCTTTGTGAAACATCTATTATAAATTTCAAATAATAATATACAAAAATATATTACTATAACTGCATAATACTAAACATTGTTATAGAATATTCAGAAAGGAGTAATTTCTTTAACAGTAATACAGATTGAATATTTAAAATTCAAGAAGATCACTTTCAAAAACTCTGGCTACAAAAATGCTTTATTTTGCCAAAAGAAAACAAATAAAGGGCATGCTTACTCATGTATATTTAGCTTTATTTTATATCAATTGAAAATCAATTTACTAAATAGTTTTTCTATTTACTGGAATAGATGTTTTATCCTGATTTGAATGTATATCGATTCTGACTTAATGGCTACTGGGAGCTTGCCTTTTACCAGCATAATGTTGCTTCCAGCTCTATGGACAAAATGAATATCAACAGGGAACACAGGAGGACTGAAGGAGAAGGCATAGGTGTCATATGGATATTCAAAAAAAATTTATTTGGCTTGAGTTTGAGAGACATCATAGGGCAATTATGCACATTAATTCTCTCATTTCTATAACAAAATTGGTAGCACATAAGTGATTAAGATTTTTTAAGAAGTAAATTAAAAAATAAGAACTTTTAAATTCTGAATAGATTTTGCAAATTTCTGTGTACATGTATTTGCAGACACATGTGCTTTTTCCCAGAAATTTAAATACTTGCAAAATATTAATATTTATTTTATGTTACTGTATCCTGTATCATACGTACTCTTTCACCAGGAGGGCCAGGAGGGCCATCACCACCTGAAGTACCCTATCAAAAATAAAAAAAGAAAAGAGAAAAAAAGAAAAATCAGTTTTGATTCCTTCTGATAGCATTTGTCCTCTGGAAGAGGAACTTACAGCAAACGCAAATAGAATACTTCTTTTTTTTTTTTAATATAATTTATTGTCAAGTTAGCTAACACACTGTAGAGTACACAGCGTGCTTTTGGCTTCGGGAGTAGATTCCCATGATTCATCGCTTACAACACCCAGTGCTCATCCCAACAAGTGCCTCCTCCATGCCCATCACCCATTTTCCCCTCTTCCCTGCCCCTCACATCATTCCTCAGTTTGTTCTCTGTATTTAAGAGTCTCTTATGGTTTGCCTCCCTCTCTCTTTGTAACTATTTTTTTCCCTTCCCTTCCCCCATGGTCTTCTGCTAACTTTCTCAAATTCCACACATGAGCGAGAACATATGATAACTGTCTTTCTCTGACTGACTGACTTACTTCACTTAGCATAATACCCTCAATACCCTCCAGTTCTATCCATGACAGAACAAGTACTTCTAATACCTTTGGACCAGGTTTCCCCGTGGGACCTCTCGCACCTCTTGAACCTCGAGGACCCTGCATACGAGAGCAAAAGATGAAACCGATCAAGTGTCAGGCACACCCGAAAGCACAGAATCTGTTTTTATTTTTGAAGAAACTTATCTTGAAACATTAAATCCAAAATGAAAATTATTATTTTAAATAAAGCCACCCACCGTTGGGCCACGTTGACCCCGAGGTCCTGGTTTGCCAGCTACACCCTGCCAAAGACAGTTCAAACAGTTTCAGTAGGCAGCATATCACAGCGAATCGTGAGTCAGGTGCTGAAAGACAGGTACTCATGCAAGAACATTTGTATGAGATAGTCCAGGACAATAGACTTCTATACCATACCCGTGCACCTTTCTCTCCATTGGCACCTGGAAACCCAGGAAATCCAGTGGAACCCTACAAAAATAAAAATAATAAACAATGAGTATGGTAACGTTTTTAGACACAAGCTGCAGGCCTTTAGGAAAATGAACTTACAATAACATCTGAAATCCTGGAAGCAGTGAAAGCATGAATTGATAAAATACATTTTAGTTTTTCACTTTAAAATAATGAACCAAGTATCATTTCCCATATTAGAAAACAGCAATTAGAGAACACTATATAAAATAATTTTGACTTACAATTCTACACACTTGCTTCAACTTGGAAGAAAAATCTTATTTGTCATGAGCATGAATAAATATTAAAATAAGAATTTTATAAAAATTTTCCTAAATTAACATTGTTGTATTTATATATTTGAAACCTTTAATTTAATATTTTTGCACCTTTAGAATTGAATCAAATCATAAAGGCTAAAAATCTTCTTCCATCTTTCTGCTTGATGTTTGAATGTGGTTAAACCTAGCTGAGAGTTTAAGTCAGGCAGTCCAGCATTAAAGTCCTGTTTTTGGAATTCCAAAGGCATAAATTCATAACTTATGTTTATCATACATTCACCTAAGTTGGGTACATTACTTATCCTCTCCAAGCATAGTTTTTCTGCAAAATGAGGACACTCACCCACATCTTATAGGTACTTTGACTTTGTGGGCGATTAGAATAAAGGAAGGCAAGGTATACAAATGATAATGATAGATAACAATAAGTATTGGTTGTTTAAAGGTGTAATAGGCACAGTGAAAGCTTCATACTTCATCCACAGACAGTCACATTTTACAGATGGAATATAATATAGTCCCCCATTTCATCTTGTGCATATTCCAGATTTTTATCTGTTTACAGATTCCTTTGAACATGACTGTGACTGGTTTGCTTTATCGTATCATGAAACAGAACAGATTAAAGTTCAGATCTTTTCTCCTCAATGTGCTAACTATGAGACTTTGGAAAGTGTGTGCTTCCAAATACTCACTTTTCCTATTCAGACCACTTTATGAATTAAATGCAATAATGTATAAAATATCCAGCAGAGTAGTAGACATTCAGATTTTACATACTTTCCCATGTGTTAAGGGAGATATAACAAAACCTTCCTTTGACTTGAATATATTTCTTGCTTTTCTTTCCATTCATTTGGATTAAATTACCCCTAAAATAATATTTATCTAAGTGATAAGTGTCCCCTCCATGTCATGATAATTCAGAGTAATTCCTAATAATGTGGATTGTCAAATCCCACTGCAGATTTCTCTCTCTAGCAGAAGGACCCAGGAATCTGCATCTTTAACAATTCCTCCAGGTGATGTATATAATAGATATCAATGTATATTTCCTCCAGGAGAAAGTTGTATGTGAAGCCTTATGGGAGCTGATGGCCAAAACAATTATCCATTGCACTGCTGAGCTTCTTTTTATGACCCATTTCCCAATATATTCTAATTCATATCTATAGAGGTTACTATGTGATTCACCTGAGGACAATTGTTAGGACATGTAATATTCACATAATGGGGAAATAATGTCTGCAAATTATGTTTTTTGAAGGGCTTTCAAAGCCTTTTTCTCTATCAAAATGAGAAGTTAGATCTGGTAGAGGATTACTATGGGACTACTCTAGGAATTTGACAAGTGAGTAGAATCCAATATAGAAATAACCTACTCTACCAGATTTTATCTGTGAACAAATATTCATTTCTGTCTTGAATAGAATAGATAACTAATCACATTTGTAGAGACTCCATTCAAACAAATTGCTCTATGCATCAATTTTATTGTTATAAAATTTATTTTCTTATGTAAGTTTCTGCTCTAGGCAATTTATGAGAAAAAAACAAAAATGCCCAATCCATCAACTAAATAGTTTGTAATATAAAGGCATATTCTTCTTTTCTCACATAAGGAGTTATCACCAAAATATAAAATTTCCATGATAGGTTTTTACTTTATTTTAATTTTAATGTTTATTCATTTTTGAGAGAGAGAGAGAAAGAGAGAGAGTGAGAGCTAGCAGGGGAGAGGCAGAGAGAGAGAGAGAGAGAGAGAGAGAGAATCTGAAACAGGCTCCAGGCTCTGAGCTGTCAGCACAGAGCCCAGTGAGGGGCTTGAACTCATTAACTGTGACATCATGACCTGAGCTGAAGTAGGACGCTTAACCAAGTGGGCCACACAGGCACCTCAGGAATTATAGGTTTTTAAATGGAAAAAACAAACAGCAAATGAAAGGCTGAAAAGTCAAAGATTAATGGTAAAATTGGCTCACCAATTGTGAAACTTACAAAATTATTTGAATGCTGTTTTAAATATAAAGAATCCTACATTAAAACAGATTTACTTTTTGAAGTAGTGATCTATCTTTTTATAGTACCAATGATGATGCAACTTTCAAATACCCATTGTGATTTACATTGCTAGTAAGATATTAAATAAATTATATTGTCTAACTATAGTCCTTAAACTGCTTAAGAGATTAGCAGTTGAATTTCACTTTTAGTGCAATATAGATTTAAATATATTCAAAATTCATTAGATTCCACATAGGAAAAAAATGTGAAGATATCTTTGATCTTTGATGAGACCATTATTTTTTGTTTTAGAACTAAGAAACGTTAATCATTTTTGATCATAAAAACAGTTATTGTGAACAGTAATATGAAAAAATAAAAACCAAGGTTTCAGACATTTTGGTTAAGGAGTAAAGAAGAAAAATGTTTGATTTCTCTAGGAAGAAACATTTCTCTCCAGTCACTCTGGTGCATTTTGTTAATAAAAATAACTCAAAGAATATTGAACAGAGTATTGTCATAGGAAAAACAGAAGGAAATAAGAATGTCAAATAAAAGAATATTGTGCTAAGCCTTCAAGTAATATGATAGTTTTCTGTTTTTAAATCAAAATAGCACAATTGCAATTCAATTTCCTAATTATATCAAGAACTCATCAAGCAATCTAATGATAGCTTAAAGTTGTGGGTTATGCAGTGAATGTTGTTTTTTTTTTTTCACTCATAATACTTGTGAAAATGCTTGACATTTGAAAGGAAGGTAGCTAAGAGACAGGGCAGTGTATTAGAGACAATATCTAAAAGGTAAAACTTACTAATAAGCATTCTAAATGTAGCTAGAAACCTTTAAATGATGCATGTGTTATTTTTAAGTCACAGATGAAAAGCTCAAAGCATTATGTTTACCTCTTACTATACAAGGGATTCCACATTTTCTAGAAACTCAATGAAAATTTATAAGACAAAACCACATAGCAAGCCTAATACAGTGTCATCACAGGACAATGAGTGAACATAAGTACATGCAGTTCACATTTGTCAAGAGGAAGGACATTCTGGTTTCCCAATGATTATCTGGGGAACTTATTAATAAATATGTTTGGAGATTATTATATAAACAGGATTTATCTTTATATACGATTCCTGTCAAGCCTGAATGGGTCAAACAGAGACAGATTGAAAGGTAGATGGATAGATAGATAGTCTGTCTCATGGGCATATAAGTATTTTAATAGTAAAACCAAAATGTATGTATTAATTTATTTAACCACTTTAATTAACTAGTCAATGCAAGAAGTGCAGCCTTGACAAAGTTTTAAGATTAGCTTGAGGAAAATTAGCACACCAGGGTAAACACCTATTTTTAAAACCATCTATTTTTATGCTTAAAATATGTATATTTCAAATAGTTAAAATAAAATTTTAGTTCTGTAGTGGATCAGATGGTGGCCCCAAATCCATATATCTGATATTCAAATCTCTGGAACATGTGAATGTTGCCTTATTTGGAAAAAGAGGTCTTTGTAAGTGTAGGTTAAGTTAAGGATCTTGAAATGAGATCATGTGGTCCCTAAATGCAAAGACAAGTGTCTTTATAAGAGACAGAAGAGATGACAGAGAGAAAAAAAAAGGCCATGTGGAGATGGCAGAGCTATGCAGAGACAAACCACGGACTGCCCTGGTTTACTAGAAGCTGGAAGAGACAAGGAGAGACTCTAGCCTAGAGCTTTTGGAGGGACTGGGGCCCTGCTGACACCTTGATTTTATTAGGCTTCTGGTCTCCAGAACCATAACAGAGTAAATCTTTGTTGTTTTAAGTCACCAAGTTTGTAGAAATTTGTTACAGTAGCCCTAGGAAACAAATACTGGGGAAAGGAGGGAAGAGAAAGATGATGAAAGATGTATTGTAATTTTTTTTTAAAGGCAGCAAGTGGAAATTAAAACCCTTAGGGTACTAGAAATGAAATCAAAAACTGTTATCCATCATTTATCATCCCCTTTATAACTTCTAGATATAGTAGTATGTCACTCTGGAATAGTCCTGATTCCAATTACAAGGAAGTAGCTGACAATGTCTTCCTTTTATGACACTGTCTGCTAAAATACTCCAGTCCATAATCACCTAGGCTCCCGGAGCTCCTTGTATACCAGGCACTCACAAACCTGATGTCTTTCCCTCGTGAAATTATATTTTAAGGATTTATCATCTCTGTGTTACAAACCATTATGTATGATTAATTCTACAAAATGTTGATAAACTATAAACATCAAGCTAATTGTTTTACCTTTGGACCTTGTCTTCCTGGATATCCTGGTAATCCTGGAACACCAAGTTTCCCCTAAAGTTAAAAAAAATAATAATAAAGATTCTAAGTTGAATTAAGTTTAAATGATGATTTTAGCCATTTTTCTAGAAGTTAGAACCACATATTTGTACAGTCAAAGGGAAGATTTACAAGTTTTCACCATACTTTACTTACATTACATTTCTTCATTTGCATAGGGAAAAATTGTTTTGGACATATTTCTAATGCTATAACGTTCTCTAACTTAACACCTGTCTAAGTGACAGTGCCTTCTTTGGGGGCAGGACCCTGAGCTAAAAAGAATTCTAGGACTCTCTCTGAACTCTTAAGCATGACTAAAGAAAATGCCTAAGCTTTTCAACATTAAAAGTATTTAAAGTTAGTTGATGTAGTTAGAACTGCATTTAGATTTTATCATTTCAGCTGGAGTTAATCCTTTTTATAAAATGATTTCATTTCTCATGTAAATACAAAGTAAGCAATCCTGAGTTATTTAAGTATTTCTCCCTGAGCAGTTTAAAGAACTATACAAGAAATTCTGACCTAATTTTGGGGCCAAGCTGCTTCTTCTTTTCAAACATCTGGAAAATCTGGGTTAATCAACACATCAAATGTTGAGAACTATAGCTATGTAATGATGATTTTTGTGGAGTGTTAATTCCTGCAGGTGGGACCTTAAATGTGCAACAATTTTATTCCAGTGCAATGAGATTACTTCTCAAAAAGTGCTAAAACAGTAAATTGAAGCAAAGTCCAAAGATGTGTAACAAATACCAAGAGGTTTAAAATGCTACACTAGCAAAATTTCACCCTGAACAAAGCATTAACTTAAAAATACAGGTAATGAGAAAATTAAACTAAATTTCTGAATAAAATGTTTGTGGAATTTTACTGTGGCTATTTTCCTTAAGATTTTATAAAAGCACACTCCATATATATAATATTATTTATCAAAGTCTTAAAACATTGGGAAGCACATAGCATCATTGTTTCCCATGTACATTTAAACAAAATAAGAATAGAAACAAAAACAAATCCAAATTACTACATGTAACAGTAAGAGAGGAACAGCAACTTTATGAGCCACAATAAATATTTTACTGGATGAATCAAGGTAAGAAAATAGGAATATAGTTTATGACCTTGTTATTATAGATTGAACTAAAGAGTTGTCTGATTCAAGATCAACACTGCATAGGTAAGCAGTCTTCAAATGGAAAATATGCAAACAAGCCCTAAGAAGTATGCTTATAATGATGTCCCTTTGGATGCATTAAGTTATCATGTCTGTTTTATGCCACTGATTTCAAGGTTAATGAAATTCTCTAATTATGATCATGAAGTCTTTGTGTTCCATGTTAATTACTGTATTAGAATATAGACTCTTACTCACTTTAGAGTCATTTCAAAATAAATCCAGGCAGAAGTTTTGTTTGCCTTTTCAATATGGTGATGGGCAACTTCCATAAAGGGGAAATGCTAATGAAATGTTAAAGAAAAATTGTGGAGTAAAGTCCTGATGCCTCTGAAGAGACTCTGGCGTCATTTACAAGAATAAAGTGGAGGAAGGATGGGAGGAAGTTCTCATAATAGTCTGAAACTAATAGTCTGTGATAGGGCCTTGGAAGCCTTTGTTTCCTCTCATCCTTTCCCTCCCTGACTAAACATGATGACATTATTCATCAGTTCACAAATGGCAACTGGGAGGGTGAAACTTTAGAAGAACTACTACATCAGATGATTCATAATGACATGAGGAAACATCTTCTTACCTATGCAGTCACAGTGCCTGTGTAATCCTTATATATTGTTCTTCTGAGCCAGGATGGCAAGGAGGGAAATTAAGAGTTTTCTTAAACAGCATGGAATTCTCATATTTTATAGAATAGTGGCATGCTCAATATAGAAAATTTGGAAAGCAGGTATACATATTAAAAGGAAGGAAATCATCTGAGTTATACCACCAAGAAATAATTCGTATTTATATTTTTCTTTAGTGTACAAATAGGATAACACTTGTCATGGGAATTTCTAGTTCTTTCTTAATTTAACTTCATAGTTACATTATGAGGTGTTCACCATATCACTAAATACTCTATGATGCCATAGTTTTAATGTTGTCTAATATTACATGAAAATGTAAATGTAATGGTTGAAAATATTTTCTGACATAGTATATATAGCACAGTGGCTCTTAAATCAATGAATATTACAATTATGGGGACGTTTTAAAACATAGTGATGCCTGGGTTAACACTAGACTAAAATTAATCTCTTCAAGTTGGGCTTTGACATCATCATTTTGTAAAACACTTGCTTGTGAAAATGCATGTTCATGTGAAAAAATATAAAGTGTACATTTTGGCATGAGGAGCAAAGATAATTCTACCTCTTCCAAAACAATAAGTATACCATCTTTCATTGATTCTTTGATCCATTGTTAATCACATGCACATTCTTTTTTAAACTTTAAATTTTATTTTATTTGAGAGAGAGAATGATAGCAACAGAGAGAGAGAGAGAGAGAGAGAGCATAAGTGGGGGAAGGAGGGAAAGAGAGAGAGAGAGAGAGAGAGAGAGAGAGAGAGAGAGAG